AATCTAAAAAATTTATATAATTCTTTATAGGTAATCTTTCATAATCTTCAATTAATCCTATTATTTATATTATATTTTTACGAGTCATTTTTAAAAATCTCAAATTACTCTTACAATTAGCATTAATATCCGTATTAATAGTTCCTATTAATTAATGAGTTCTTATGAAAAATATGAGGAAGAGAAAAAGAGAGAGAGAGAGAGAGAAAATTAGATATTAGAAATTAGAAGCAAATGTCTATTAGAACGTGTATTTTCATGAAGAAAATTAGAGATGTTATTTCCCTCTGTACCTCTCATATGTATGTATCTATACACACAGGACGAATAATCATATTCACATGAATGACCTGGAAAAGGAAGAGAGACAGAGACAGAGACATATAGACAGAGATAGAGATATATAGCTAGATATAAAGAGATAGAGAAAGAGAGATAGATGAAGAATGATGAGAGAATGAAAAGTAGAATTAAAAAGAGAGAGAAAGAAAGCGAGAGAGAGAGAGAGAGAGAGAGAGAGAGAGAGAGAGAGAAAGATTGAGTGAGTGTAAGAATGAAAGAATAAGTGAGACAGAATGAGTACGTGTGAGAGAATGAAAGAGAGAGAGAGAGAGAGAGAGAGAAGGGTTTGGATAGGACGAATACGAAGAGACGGAGAACGCACGACACGAATTATCGACGCGCGTTGCTCGGACATGCCGCTATACTGGCTCACCGATCAAGGTCACACACTGGAGGGTCTTCCGTTAGGTGTACTTAGGAAGCCGATGCGATGAACATCGGCAAAGGAGATAGCCAAAGAGAGAAAGACAGAGAAAGAGAGGGAGAGAGAGATAAATAGTCATATACAAAGAGAGAGAGAGAGAGAGAGAGAGAGAGAGAGAAAAAGAGAGATAACATCTTTACCTTTCCATTAATTGAACGACCTTACCTACTTTAACATCCTTCGTGTCTAAACACAAAAGACAACTAACACCAATCACTGAGATAGAGTTTGACCCTTTTCTTACATTCATCTCTCTCTCTCTCTCCCCTCTCTCTCTCTCTCTCTCTCTCTCTCTCTCTCTCTCTCTCTCTCTCTTGCTCTCTGTGTCTGTGCATACGTGTATATATATATATATATATATATATATATATATATATATATATATATGTATGTACGTGTCCTACGTATGCATATGTGTATATATGTTTATGTGCGTTTCCATAGAAGAAAATCGTTGAACGACATAGTAACACTCCAAGTAAAATAGAGAGCCTTAAACAATATTAATAATAATAATAATAATAATAATAATAATAATAATAATAATAATAATAATAATAATAATAATAATAATGATGATGATGATGATGATGATGATGATGATGATGATGATGATGATGATGATGATGACGATGATGATGATGATGATGATGATAAAAACGAAATAAAGAGAGGCAAAAAATGTTGCAAAAAAAAATGTTGAAGTTTTCTCGCGTTGTTGTTGTTATCGGAAGAAAATGTGTAAGAAAGAAGGAAAGAAAGAAAGAAAAAAAACAAAGAAGGAGAAAGAGGAGAAAGAAAGTTTTGAAAATAACAACGTCGATATAACGCAGTATTATACATACGTTTAATTTCGACATTAATTAATATCATTCGGAGCATTATTATTAATCATTTTTACTGATACGTCTGACATAACGATGACGATGATGATTACGATGACGACGATGGCGACGATGACCGTGTTCGTTTGATGATCGAAGAATTGTTTCATGCAAAAGGTTAACGATGTATTCGTAGCTTACATATTTTGTGCGTACATATATATATATATATATATATATGTTCATACATGCTTCGCAACATAGGTTATATATACAGAAAGCGAGAGAAAGAGAGAGAGAGAGAGAGAGGGAGCAAAAACGATGGAAATTACATTAATGTAGGAAAAAGTATGTACTTTGCTACGTAAACCGCGTTCAGAATTTCAATATTTATAAGATGAATAGAACGGGGAAGAAGTTGACGCGTCGCCTAGACATCGAACGATTTTTCTTATTCATATAGAGATAAAATATTTATCAGATAGCTCGGTTCAAAACGCGAATCGTATCGACGAAAGAGAGAGAGAGAGAGAGACAGACAGAGAGAGAGAGAGAGGGGGGAGAATAAGACAAGAGAGAAAAGAGAGACAGGAAGTCAAAGAGAGAGAGCGAGAGAGAGAGAGAGAGAGAGAGAGAGAGAGAAACAAGAAAATGCATCGATAAGGAAAAGTCGTAGATCAATGAGAAGTAAAGAGGAAAAGTAATGGAAAAGAGATAGAAAAAAAGAAGATAAGTAAAAAAGAAAAGTAGAAGAAGGAAAAAGAAACAAAATTATACGACGAATTTGGGATAATATAATGTAACGATGAAAATATTAAGAATAAAAATAATATTTCCATTTCACACGCAATATATAATAGAGATAACCGCGTGCTTGATCGCGCCGACGCATTGTCCTCGGTGCACTCAC